AATCACTAGATAGTGATCCGTTCCCAGGTCAGCACCCCTGAACACTCGCGTATCCATAACCTGTTTTCGCAGTCGGTCATCCACCAGGAACAAATCGATCATACTTCTCTCATTCTTTCTTTCTCTAGTATACAAATGGATTTTCTTGTGATTAAACATAGTGTTTGTCACAAGAAGACCCTTTTCCTTGCATACCGCCAGTATAAGCTTGCCAGCATCATTAACCCTTTTATCGCCAAACTTTCCAAGTACCGACTCGTACCCTGGTCGAGCGGTACCAACCCATCCATTCAAATCACCACATACAACAATTCTTTCGTTTCCCCTAGCCAAATCCAGAACTTCTCTTACATTCTCCCAAAACTCCTCCAGCTCAGCCCTGGACGACGAAGCTACCGGCGCATAAACAGCCAAAAGGAATAACTTCGTCAGTCCCAATTTAAAGCGAACCCAGAGAAGTCTTGAGTTCACAAACTTATATTCAGTCATAACATCGACCAACCGAGAAGACAGCAGCACCCCCACTCCCGGGACTCCGGACCATAGAGCAAACGCCCCGCCAGGGAGCTCTTCAGTACCACTGCCCTTCCGTTTGGTCTCCGACATACACACGACATCTAATTCTCTTTCTTTCATTATTTCGATCAACTCATTCGTCTTATCTCTCATGCCTCCTCTAACATTCCACGTGCCAACTCTGCACTCCGTCCTCCACCTTCCGCCGTGTCAGGCTGTGCGTGACGGGTGGCGGTCCCCATCGCCGCTTTGCGCGCTGCATTCCACACCAACGGGGACGAGCTGGTGTGCGTCGCCTTGGGGGGACGCCCTAACCCTCGTTGACATGGGTGCGCAGCTGAGTAGAATTGCAGCCCTGAAAAGGGCTGGCAGGGGTCGCGACGAGCACGCTTCTACAATGACCCCCAAAGACGTTATTTAATTTAATAATTGCACCTCTATAACTGAAATAACCTCTGTTCTCACTTCTATTAATGTAACCCTCTGTAAATAAGACAGATTTTTATTTATACCTGGATATCTGAGGCACTGGGTAAGTGGAATACCTCTTTAAGTGAGACAAAGTTTCAAGTCCCTTAAGGTCCCAGTTATCCAGGTTTTACTGTATTAATATAGCTGCAGTATTGATCTACCACGTTGAAATATATAAAAATGTATAAACTCGTGAAAGAATACGACATTGAGTTTAGTAAGCTACTACTAAAATATTCTACGAGGAACCCTAACGAATAGTATATCGCCACCGGGATGGTTCATCTGACGTCACGTCATATCTGATGAATCAGTGTTGCCTTTACAGTAAAAGTAAATTGTCCTTTGAAGTAGAAATATATTTCAGAATTTGTAATTGGCTTAATGGTTCGCTGATCTTTCCAGTAATTGAAACTGAATTCTACTGAACCACCAGAAAAAACCAAGAGCTACTAAAAGCAATATTTCTCTACTAAAAGGTTAAGGAAACCACCAGTTTTAGTGGAAGATCCACTAAGTTGTTAAATCTGCCAACGAGGCGGTTACATCTTTCTAAAAGGCTCTCTCCTCTGGTATTGCAGATGCTGAAGGGCGTACCATACGGCGAGCCCGTGTGCTTGTTTGACTTCTCTTCTGTAAAAATATACGAAACACATTTCTTATAGATCAGTCGGATAAAAATCTTTTCTGTTAGCTACTGAAGTGTGTCACAAAAAGCTTGACAAGTAAGCAGAACTTTTCATAAAGAAAGCTTAGAAGTGTAATATTCGGAATGTGATAGCATGGCTTCTTACCACAAGGACGCACGTGTAACGCATTGTCAAATCGTTATAATCTTACACCTCACTGCCTTGCGGGGTGGTAAGATAATACCGCGTGAAAATTTTACGTGGTAGACCCACGCGTCAACGTTATACGAGGGCGGCACTGAAAATTTCGGGAATCAAGGAAGTGATACAACATTACTATTTAAAAATGTATCTATTGCTTTTCGAAGTATTCTCCGCGAAATTTGACACATTTTTCCATACGATGGAACCAATCATTGAAGCAACCATTCCATTCGGAAGTTGGGGTCTCCAAAATGGCCGTTTTGTAGGCGTCCACAGCTTCTTCAGGTGATTTAAATCTCTGTCCACGCAATTTATTCTTTATTTTAAGGAAAGTATAGAAATCATTAGGGCTTAGGTCGGGGCTGTACGGCGGATGGTCTAATAATTCTATGTTTTCTTGCTCTAAAAACTCTTTTGTTCTGTGTGCGGTGTGAGAACTCGCATTGTCGTGATGGAGGATGATGCGGCAGTTGCAGTTCTCTTTACGGAGTTCAGAAACGACCTGTGGCAAACAAATGCTAGCATACCATTCTGCATTAATCGTTCTTTGTCCCTGAAGAGGAATAGTCGTAACATGGCCGGTTTAGGAGACAAACGTGGCCACCATTTTTTTTGCCAGCGATAAATTGTGGTTTTGGATGGGGCTTCGTCACCAAATACAGAAATCATCCCGTCAACACACTGTTTTTGTGTTAAACCACTTCTAATGTCATAATAAATCATCGCTCTTTAATTTTCTCGAGTCAATTCCATTTTCTCAACGACTAAACAAGTTTGACAAAACCTTGTGTCAAGACCGACAATCTTTTTTTAAATAAATAAATGGTATACGATTTTTAAAACCAAGGGGTTTTCAATTAAAAAGATTTTAATATGACAGGAACAGTGGAAATACTCCATTCCCGATACTTTTAGTGCAGCCCTCGTAATAGTACCCGGGGCAGATTCCGCACTCACAGAATACCAGCGTAAAACAGCAGCTTAATGCAGCAGTGTTTCGTATGGTTAGTGTAGAGAACCGAAAACCACTTTTACTTTTTTTTTTTAAAGATAAGGGTGACAAACAAGCACACAGTCCACCTGATGGTAAGTGGTTGCTGTGACCCATAGACATCTACATTTATCCTCAATAAAGAATCAAAATGCGGATACGTCGTCACCCGTTAGGACTAATATGGACTGCCTCTCTTCCAGTGAAATGGGTCTCCGGTTCTCTACACTCACCATACGAAACACAGCAGTTTCAAGCTGCCACTTTACCCGGGTATTCTGTGAGAGCGTGGTCCTTCCCCGGTCGAGCCGACCCATTCGTGCTACAACTATACTACTAATATAGCTGCAGCATGGCCCTAGATAAATGTAGACGGCTATGGGCCACAGCATCCATTTATTATCAGGTGGATTATGTGCTCATTTGTCACCCTTGTTATATAAAAAGAGACTATAACAGATGGGCCGATGGTCAACGGACGATTGTATGTAGTATATTATACTACAACGTTTTGCTGGGGCAAAACAGGCCTCGTTTTTGATAAGCTCACGGAAACAAGTATTTGGTCTAGAAAAAATAAGAGTCTAGGTGTTCGACATGTGCAACATATACATATTACATATATGTGTACCCCACAGTAGGATATTTATTTACAAAAAAGAAATAACGTCGTATTGTCAGTAAGCAATTTTATTTTCTATTTGCTAGTGGTGGCAAAATGGAATATAACTCAAGTAGTGGACTTTGCTTGCTTCTGGATTTAAGTATTTTTTAAGCTAATTAGTTTGACGTGGTAGTCATTAACGCGTATCACGTATCCGACACGACGTCATTGTGCCAGTAGCATTATCTGTAACTTTATACTTAAATAGTATTCTTACAAATTCGTTCTTTATAAATTAGAAGCGCATCCGGGCGTTGCAGCTAGTTTGAAACTTATATAAAGATACTTTGAAATTAAGTATGTTTGTTTAGTAGTTTGTTTACCATCGTTATAGAAATAGCGTGCGATCTCTATCGATATACATTTTTTTTTTAAATGCGCGCGACTACATTCAACGACGACGCTCGACTGTACTACAGACTTGGAATGTACATTATGTGAATCACGATTTATTTGTAATAATGTTATAATTATTTGGTTATATCATGCGCTTAAGACCATTTCTTGTTGAATGTTGTTCGCAATATGGAACTGTGAGAATCTATTTAAAATGCGGAGATTACGTCGACACTCACATCAAAAATAACTGTAATAAACAGTACTACTATCTTTGTAAACTCTATATTAAAATAAGTGACGTAATACAACATTAATATTATTTCGTAGTGTTTCGTAACGTTAAAAAAACAATACAGCAGATTCCCTACTTGCTTTCATCAAGCGACGAGGCATTCCATCTTACTATTTAGGGACGAAAATGCATGTGTTGATGTGGTTGATGGCAGGTGTAGGGCAGGATAATTAACACTTGCAATCTGGTGAACTATCAGTTCTTTTGTCACTGATTTACATAAAAATAAATATAATGTGGATAGTACATAACAACATAGTTCACAACAACACTAGACACAAAAAAGCAGTAATAAAATAGTAAGTGAATTTAGGAATAAATAGAACATAGCAGTCAAACACAAGACGGAGATAAAAAATGTGTGCAAATATGATAGGATAATTTCCTACTAAAACTAGTAAATAAGACATAAATAAATTTACTATTTTGAAAACAATAAACAAAATCTATAAACGGCCTACTTATAAAAAATCTACGTCAATTTAAGAAATGCGTAACGTTGCTCTTTCTCTCTATAGTAAGCTATATTTTTTTTCTTATATGCCAGTTCTTAACCACATTCTCACCTGGTGGCACTGTCTTAGCGTATCAAAAGTCTATTCGCTCTTGCCTTGAAGACGCACCTATTGTATTCGGACGGAAAGACAGACGCCGGCAAATTATTCCACTCTATTGCTGTACGCATAACTAAAGACGAAGCAAACCGTTTGGTTCTAATGTGTGAAATATCGGCAACAAGATGGTGGAAAGGAGCGGGAAGAATTAAAGCATGTAATTTAATCGTTGATTATAGCTTACTTAAGTAAGGCTGATTTTATTATGTACCTACAACTATCAATAATCCCGTGCAACATAAGCGTAGTCAATGATCATAAGTGGTGTTAAATCCGTCAGGTTCACACTGCCAGCGCGCGCCGACGCCGTGGTGGAGTTATGGCGCACCAAGTTGGCCGAGGGAGTGCTCTCACCGGCACATTTCCAAGACCATTGGCGGGTCACTGTACCAAGGATATACTCGCCGCAGCCCAACAGGACATGTCTTGGTAAATTCAAATTATATTTAATAAATCGTATATTTACATGCTAAATATTTTGTATTGGTATTTTAAAGTTTTGTAAAATGAAGCGTGTGTCCAATGTAAACATTACAGCATGCAACTAATATACGCACTGTCTGACAAAGGGCGCGTTGTAACAGTTATAGCGCCATAGTATTGTACAAATTGCTACGTTGATCCTTTCATACCCATACATATGTGAAATAGATTTATTTTGACATACATTATATGTACATATACAAGTAAAATTTTAGCGTCCATTGTAAACGACACCTACTGTACTGTCCTTAATAAGTATTGTGTTGTATTTTTCTTAAAGAACATTTATTAGTTTTTACTTTTTTAAACCGACTGCAAAAAAAAGTGATTCGCAATTCGTCAAAATATTTTTTCCCATTTCTGTTCAGTTATAATTCTTTACCATGTTGTTAAATTCCATGGTTCTTTTTTGTCAGAAAGGGGTTACCTTAAATCGTCAAAATGTAATAATGGTATCAAGGATAATTTTAAGTAACATATTTATTAATTGATGATTTTTATCCGCAGACTGGTCTTTCGACGAGGAGCTGGCTCAGAAGCTGCTGATCCAGCCGCTGGAACAGTTCGTGTGGGGCGGCGCGGACGGGTCGCGAGTGGTGCCGCCGCGTCGCTCCACGCTATGTGGCCGCGTATTTAAACAGGGCGAGCCGGCCTACAGCTGCCGTGAGTGCGGTGAGTGGTGATACTCAATAATGTATGATGTCACACCAAATGGTACCAACAAATCGTCTTGTCAATTCATGACCAATTTGAAAATGACCAATCCTTTAAACTGTTATAATCCAGTGCTCGACCACTCTCCAACCTGATTGTGAGTGCTGATGTAGTCGAAAATAAACTTGGTAGAGCCATGCTGCACCTATATTAGTAGAATAGTTGTAGCACGAATGGGTCAGCTCGACTGGGGAAGGACCACGCTCTCACAAAAAACCAGCGTAAAATAGCAGCTTAACACTGCCGTGTTTCGTATGGTGAGTGTAGAGAACCGAAGATCCTTTTTACTGAAAAAGAGGCATTTCATCTTAGTCCTCACGGGTGACAACGCCCCTGCATTTTGATTCGCAAACGAGGATAGATGTAGATGTCTATGGGCCAGAGGAACCACTTACCATCAGGCGGACTGTGTGCTCGTTTGTCACCCTGTCCTATAAAAAAAAGATAGTAAAGCGCACTGACTAACTTAACAAAAGCCTATTTACTTCTGCCTTCAAAACACCTGCACTATAATCGGATGATCGGATCGAATGTCGACAAAGGGTGAGCGTTTGGTTGTCCGATCTTAGAAATGATAGGGAGGATTTATAACATTTAATTCCTGCGCACTAAGATTCTAAATTATATAAACGTATGTTTTCTCAGAAACATGCCTGATAATTTTCCATATTTATCCTCATTAGCTTTTTCAATGTTCGAAATGCTAATTGACAAAAGCTTCTTGTGAAGTGGTGGAGGGGCCTCGGTTTTGTTCCGAGCGAAAATTTTGTTTCTTGGACCTCGCGTTGCTCTCCTGCAGCTGAAGGTATTCTTGAGGTTTTTCCCACGTCCCAAGGGCTTCAGTAACAACTTACCATCCAGGGGCATTTTATGCCGTTTACCTCTAATGATATATATTAAGACTCTGCGGCGGTCCCGAAGTGAAAGCGGTAACATCATTGAATCCACCTCACATTGAAACACCCACAGATAGTATTGGAATTATTAAGAAAAACTATTTTCTGCCGACTTCCAAAAAGGAGACGGTACTCAATTCGACTGTATGTTTTTTTATGTGTGTTACCTCATAACTTTTTACTGGGTGAACCGATTTCGATGATTCTTTTTTATTTGAAAGCTGGTACTTCTCGTGTGGTCCCATATGAATTAGATCAAGGTCAGACCAATAGTTTTTGAGTTATTCTTAATAACTTATATTGAAGTCGGTTGTACAAAATTTTTTATTTTAAATTATAAATTTCCTTGTAGGTCATTTTCCAACTGGTGGTAGATTTTAACGTTAATGCGAGCTTGAAATAAACCCTAATTGAATAAAAATTATTTGATATTTCGGACTAGGTATGGACAACACGTGCGTGTTGTGCGTGGAGTGCTTCAAGGTGTCTGCACATCGGCACCACAAGTACAAGATGGGCCAGTCCGGGGGCGGCGGCTGCTGCGATTGCGGAGACACCGAAGCCTGGAAGCGGGACCCGTTCTGCGTGCTGCACACTGTGAGTCCATATTGTAGTGCTGCAAAAAGTACGTACAGTTGATACATATTATGAAAACGTCTCGAGTTTTGTGGTACAAGGCTTGCAGCTGTTGTTAAACGCGAGACCGGAAGGGCCGATGCGGCGCCTTTTTTATTACCTATTAGCTGAAATAATTAGCGGGCCGCAATTTGTAACAAGTTTAGGAATCCTGCTCTTTATCTACTATAGCCAAACAGACCATAGAGGTAGACTCATCATGACCTACCAGTATCTGTAAGTCTTGCAGTCGTCTCTGGGAGTCCGCCCGTTACGATTGGATATCATAGGTTTTAATTTTTTTTGCGCGGAACCCTAATTCTTTACTAAAATAAAAGTAGCCTAAGTTACTCCTTATAACATCAGATATCTGCCAGTGGAAATCCCGTCAAAATCGGTCTAGCCGTTTCGGAGATTAGCCGGAACAAACAGACAGCCACACAGATAAAATTTTTAAATTTTTTTTTTATTATAAGTACCGTAAATACTTTCATATGCATTTAGTAAAACGCTGTTATTTTGACATTACAAACAGACGCTTCAATTTTATTTATTTGTATAGATTTGATGGCTGCAACATGAATGGATGGGCTTGACCGGGGAACGTCACTGATTTCACGAAATATCTGCGTAAAATAGCAATATATGCATTTTGTATGGGAACTAAGTGATCCGGAAACCCTTTTTACTGGTAACTGGACATTTTACCTTAGTTCTCTGCATTTTAATTCCTAATCGAGAAATTATTTACGTGTCTACTCGTTATTTTGTTCGCTTTTCTATAAAATAATGATGGGTGGCTTATTGACAACCCCAACCAGAGACAATATTTGAACAGAAACACAGACAGGCACAGCCAGGCCTGATGTTCAGGCCTGGCTGTGCTTGCCCATGTCTTTGATTTTACCTCCAATTTTATCGAATTGGATTCATATGCCTCTACTACTGGATAAGCAGAGTAACATCAGAGCGTTATTATCGGAAGTAAATTTTATTATAAAATTAAAAGCCCATATTTTCGTGTATTGAACTTATTTAAACATGCCAACTTTACTTTAAGGCGCCCGACAACGAGGAACAAGAATCCCAGTCGAGCATCGGGCCCGATGTGTTGGAGCGGATGAAAATCGTCGCCTCCGTCTGTCTGTCCTACTGCTTCAGACTGTTGACATTGGACCACGCACCGGGTCTACCAAATGATCTCAGGTACTAATGTTATTTACATTCTACAAATGGAGCAAGAAATATGCAAAATATTTTCTTTTTATTTGAAAATGAGGTTAATTTTCGACTAAAATACTAATGACCATCGACAATTGGCAGAATAACATTGTTGTAGGCAACTTCAAAATTTATGTTGAGCAAGAGCCCATTCACTACTACACCACAGTCTAACTACTACTAACTCTATTAACTAATTCGGTCATCGAAGGCGTCGTCAGACAGGGCAATTGTGCGGTGCGGTGTGGGGTGAGACGTGAGCAGAGCGCTCGCTCACCCACTCGGTAACTGTCCGCTAGGGTTGTCTTGTCACGCAAATAAATTAAAATGGTTTACATTACATGTGCGGTAAAAAACTGTGGGTCGTTCTCGTTTAAAGATAAGGAATTAGTTTCATTAGTTTGCACATACACATTAATTTGTTTACACGTGAAATAAAATGAAATGAGTTTTTTATTTTTTTTATTACTTCCCGTTCTGACAACCCTAGCGATTAATTGTTTATGTCGGCCTTTCCGACAACATTTAACGTCCAAGTACAGTAGCGAGTTTAGTTACAGGGCAGTTGACAGTAAACGGTTAAGTGGGCAGTAGCGTTCATATGTCATCGTGGCGGGTTTAGTTAAAAAAAAGTACAATTTTATATTATAAGGGCCGAACGCGAACACGCTGCGCACTGTCAATTTATGCACTGAACTAAACTCGCTCGTTCACTCGAGCGACGAGGGTAGTTGCGGGAGGTGGGAGATGCGCGGGAGGGCAACACTTCGAAATTGAATCGTCGAAAAATAGGCCGGCCAGCTATCCCATTCAACTTAATTGTTAATTTGCTACTTAACTCACGATTGACGTTCAAACCACATTTTTCACTTGTCGAAGTGCAAATCGGCCATAAGCCTTGTCTTTTATTTTATTACCCACGGGCGTTCAAGCTTTTTAGTAGCACCCAGCCATCTTATTTATTGAAATGAGGATGTATTTTATAACAAGACTGGTTTTTCTTTTGTAAGAATTTGCAAACAAAACACAGGTAGTCATGGCAATCCAGATTACTAGCTGTTGTTATAATACAGTATGTTCTAACTTGTTGCAGATTGAAAGATGCGGAGAGAGACCTGTTACAGATCTTGGACCAGCCGGACTGTTATTGCACTGTGCTATATAACGATGAAACTCATACCTTTGAGCAGGTAATATAACTTTAAATGTTATAAGGTGCTATCTATACCATATGTCAGAGATATTTATCGTGTCATCACCATCATCGTCATCATTACACCCCATCAACAAGTCCACTGCTGCATATAGACCTCTCCCAAGAAATGCCACAAAGCATGGTTCTGAGCCTGAGCATCCATCGACTTCCTGCATCATTCATCTGATGATAATGATGATGTTGCTGATATTTTTCATCTAAAATATGTTTTTCTTACCCAGGTGATAACGACTCTTAACCGCGTGCTGAAATCTAACCACCGCGACTCTGTGGAGCTGGTGAGTCTCATAGACCGTGAAGGTCGCGCTCTGGTCAAGTGCAACTCGTTTCAAATTTGCGACAAGCTCAAGACAGACATAGAGACGTAAGTTTAACAATCACCTTTTGAAAAGTTTTCTTACCGGTCGTGTCACGGGTTTTAATTGTACCGTGAAAGTGGTTATGTGCAGGACATTTACTAATGCAAAGGTTAATAATTAGTATTCAAAAAATAAGGTAAATGAATAGTGCATGTAGTATGAGTGGATAATAAAGGTGAACTTATCATCATTATCATCACTATCACCATCTATCAAGAGTCCACTGCGCAACATAAGCTTCCGCCCTACATATTCACATAGGGGAGATATGTAGTGTTAGCGTATGAGAATCTACTACTCAATATCATCCCGTGGTTTACGTAAAGGGCGACAGAAGAAATCTGAAACAGAAGATGGACAGCAGCATCTTTCTCATAATAACTTAAAAAACATACAATGCATGCATATGTGAGCTACTTTATAATTTTAAGTACATAATAAATTAGCACTTTTACTGACCCTGGCTGAGGTGATCAAATAAGTTTTAAGTGTCAGTTTATATTATATTATGCTGTTTATGTTACCTACACATAATTTTTATATATAAAAATACGTGTCATGTTGTTTGTCCGCGATGGACTCCTAAACTACTGAACTGATTTCAATGAAATTTTGCACACAGTGTGCATTTTGGTCCAACTTGAGAGATAGGATAGTTTTTATCCCGCTAAATGACCCTCAAAATTTTTTATTGCGAATTTAAGGATTTTTATAGGAATGCTCGTCGGAAAGGGCAGAACAACGTCTGCCTGGCGAGCTAGTATGATATATTTTACAGACAAAATATTATGGACAGGACAACAATGAGAACTATTTAAGACAGCTCTAAACGAAATGAAAATCATTAAGCAAATTGTTATTGTTTGTTATGACTAGACTTGCAGTGTAACCCTCATCTCAACAATAGGTTTTATGTAACCCATTGCTGAGATGAGGGCTTCTCTGATTTATCAGAGGGTTATGAAGTAAGAAAGAATCCAATACTTGAAGGATTTCAGTCTTTAAAAATATTTAAAAAAAAACTTAATTATTGTTTGAAATTATATTTAATAGAAAATATGTATATTTTCAAATGAACAGCAATATTAGTTGATAAATATAACGTTCCCCCCACTGTGCTGGGGCATGACTTGTGCACTGTTGATCAGCCACACGGCGATGTTCGAAAGGTTCACGTCGCGGCACGGGCCCGTGTTCAAGGTGCTGGTGATGCACGCGCACGTCGTCGCCCACCAGACCTTCGCCATGAAGCTCCTGACTTGGTGAGTGCTTTCTAGTTTTCTAATTATCTTCGTGTGAATATTTTATATTTTTTGTCGTGTTCAATACCGTATCAGACATAAAGTAAATATTGATTTGTTGTATACTGATACTACACATTGAATAAGACTAACTTTTACTGATTTTATCGCGTAATTTTTTTATTCACGTAATGCTAACCTAACTCAACTTTATGTGCGTTACGCATGAAGGATATAGGGTATAGCGGGCGTGTACGCATCTACGCCAAATGTATGCGTCCTGTTTCGTTGTTTTGTCAACCCATCCGTATCGCAGACGTATCGCGCACGAAGTTGATGTACTATGGTTGACCTCGAAAATATTTTTTTTGAAAAATTGAAGTAATAATATAAATAACAGTCCATCTGAATGTATTTGCCAAATGCCGTCCAAATACCTATAGCCAACTTTATTTTTTTATAGAATAAGGTTGGGTGGCAAACGAACACACAGTCCACCTAATGGTAAGGAAATAGATACTGTGGCCCATAGACACTATCATTTTTCCTCCATTACAATTTAAAATGCAGATGCGTTGTCACCCTTTAAGGTTAAGATGGTATGCCCCATATTCAGTAAAAAGGGTCTCCGGTTCTCTACACTCACAATACGAAACAGCAGTATTGAACTGCTATTTTACGCTGGTATTCTGTGAGATCGTGGTCTTACCACGGTCGTACCGACCCATTCCTGCTGCAACCATTAAATAGCTGCTACGTGGCTCTACCACGTGCCCAGATTTTAACTGCAATATTTACAGTTTCAAATCATAGGCCACATACTCACACACGTTATATAACTAATCCGATAAAGAAATTGGAAAATTCTTGTGGTAAAATAGCGATAAAAAGTATGTAAGTACGTCATACACACACCGAATGGAACAGTTGGTTTAAAACGGAAATTTTAAAAAAAAAAACATTTTATTCGGAATGATGTTAAATAAAATTTATAATAAAAAATGAATTATATTTCCATTCAAACTAACATCCCACACTGACTGAACAGAGCGTCGTCCTTTCCCGGTCCAGCCGACCCATTCATGCTACAACTATACTACTAATATAGCTGCAGCATGGCTACCACGTACATACACGCAATCACAGATGCACACTAATCTCTCACACTAATTGCTTCGTGGGGCGGCAATGCGACACGACCGGACAGGGATTAAGCGCATAACGGCTGTACGTAGTTTAACTATAATGGTTCAAACAACAACATATAATCCAGTAGTGATTTTTTAAGATTCATGATGCTCGGTTGTCTGATTTGAATGTCTCATTTGTGTGTGCCATTGAGATATAATGTACTACGTACTAGAGAAGCTATTCCGAACAAAAACTGTGCACTACTCTATGTCTTCGCGCATGTGCGGTAAATAGTACAGTCGCGCATGCGCGGTTTTTGTCACCATAGATTATATACGTAGGTAGAATGATCAGTATGTAATAAGTAAATGTTTATTTAGATTGTATTGTAAATTGTATCGAGTACAATTTTTTAAATTGTTATTTACATTGCATGATGTGTTAATATAATGTAACATAATATTATGTCAGATTTACATTTTAATTATATTTAATTAATACTTTAAAAGGTAAATATGTAGAATATAAAAATATGCATTTATTTTCAAAGATCATTATTATTACATTTCTAGCATTATCTAACGTATTTATACGCAGCTGGTGAATAATAGTGTAAAATCTATGCGAATTTACGTAAAGGTGCATGCAGTGTATAATTAATAATGCGTACTCTGTTTATTCTTTTTCGTTAAAGATTTATGTTACTCCATAACTTCTGCTTTACCCATTAAATCAATCTCAGCATTTAAGTTGAGACCAAATTTATGTTTCAAATTTTCTACAATTGATTTGTAAGACGCACATTTTTTCTTTAGATAAATATTTTGTCTTAAATTTCTCAGTAAGTTTCTTTCTAGTTACAGAACCCTTGCTATTATATACAAACAGAATATTACAACGTGCTTATATTTTATTCTTTTTATAATAACCTAGAATTATTGATTCCGCTATTAAAGTAGAACTATATTTAAAAGCTTAGGCTTCGTATACATCACTCAAACTTAGCTTAGGAGACATCACTTGCGTAATTTATTTTTAAGTACAATTTTGCTCGGACTATCTAAAATTGAATTTGTACTGCTTATTGGTTCAAACAACGGTTCTGATACTTCCTGTTCACCACATTTTGTTGGCTGAAAAAAAGATACTAGTTATTTGGAAAGCCTGCAAAAATTCTAGTGTTACAGTATTAAAAAACCGTCATATACTAGACTGACTCGCGCGCCGAGGTTTCCGCCTCTCTTAAGTCCCATAAATACACTGAACATTACAAAACATTCGTTCGTCATCTAATCAAAAAATAAAACAAAAATCCCAGCAATGTTATATAATTATATAATTACATAATTACATAGTCGCATGGTACTGCTTATTTCTTGAAGTACACTCTTCCTGTTTTTGCGGTGTATTTGTCATTTTTTTTAACTGCACGGAAAATGTGAGTGAATAATCTGACGTTTCTTCGCTGCAATTCTTCTGAACAAATTTTATCCATGATTATTTTGTTTCATGACACAGCCGAGGAAAACATTAAATAAAAATAATAATAAAAAATATTAATTTTAATGCATTAACATTTCCTACAGTGAATATATTATATAAATATTATACTGTTCATAATTACTTAACATTATACGTCGATAGTGTCAAGTCTGCGCATAAAAATGTTTTACTCTTTGACATTCACGTATACGTTGCAGTTGATAAAATATAATTAAATTAAGCGTGTTTTAAAGATAATAATAAGTTTTAATTACTGGTGAAAATTCACTCCTTGACTTTTCCTTATATTTCTCGAGTAGTTTGAACAGTATCTCAATGCGCACGAAGGCATATTAATTTAAAAATAATTCTTCAATCTAACTTCTCACGTTGCAACAACCGCTTGACACAGACTAAGTGAGTTTGAGAGCGCGCACTCTAACTCGTGTTACAAACAATCGAGTTGAGGCGTCGTCTCTAGTACGTAGTACATTATATCTCAATGGTGTGTGCAGGCTGCAGAACTTCGTGAGCCAGGAGCAGCGGCTGCGGTTGGCGGTGAGCTGCGTGGCGCTGGGCGAGGAGGGCTGGGCGGGCGGCGGCGCGGGCGGGGCGGGCGGCGCGGTGGGCGGCGCGGGCGGCGTGGCGGGCGGCGTCATGCAGAACGACTGCCGCATGTGGAAGTCGGCGCGCACCGCCTGGCACCGCCTGCTCATCGCCACCACGATCATGGACTACGACACCAAGCGCACCATGGCGATACTCTTCACCAAGAACTACGGTCAGTCACTCCTCGCTCTCTATTTACCGCTGCAGCTATAAAATGGCTGCAGTGAGAATGGACCTGGAATAGACTACGGTTTCATAACTAATTTTAAAAAATATGTGCAAAGCGAACTATAATATTCTTTTTTATTGACGTTCCTTGCAGTTGTAGAAAGTGATTTGATACTATGCAATTCAAATAAGAATAGGGCTGACCTGGCGCCGTATTGCGACGTCATAGCTATCAATTCAAACCGCTTAGGGTGAGCGAAGCAGATATTTTTGAAATAGTATTTATTTATAAAAGAAACATGCATGAAAAGTATTAATCTTAATCTGGCATTTCAATTGCATTCATCTCTGCATCACTGTCTGAATAGTCATCATTGTCATCATTATCACCAGTGCTGCTTTCTCTTATAAAAATAGTACATGGATTTATGTATTTAAAATATTCCACAGACTAGTATCAATATTGAATATTATTAGGCCCTTAGCGCAACAACATCATCACGGAGCCGTGGCGCAGTGGTCTAGTAATGAGTTGTTGCGCTGTGGTCTAGTAATTTGTATGACCTACAAATAATTGTTCCGGGTCTGGATGTTTATCCTAGTGAAATCTATGTTTGTAAACTGCCTCCACGATACAGGAGAAAATCCTAGTATGGGGGTAACGTTTTATGATACAAAATTAAAATAATAATAAATAATAATATTTTATAAAAAAATTATGAGTTCAATAGATTTGGTAATATTAAGATTCAGTTAAATAGAACAAAAAAAAACGTTATTAATACGCAAAATTATTTTCTTTGCAAGCTGTACTTTTTAAGTGACAGTTGATAGAGGTCGCGGTCATTTGAGGTCATTGACGTTCCTATTCTTATTTGAATCGCATTATACCTGGGCTTAGTACATACATAAAACTATTGCTTTTGATTTTCTAAGGCGTTAATCAAAAGTAAATAAATTCCTATGCAACTTGCTCATTATCTTAAACCACAGTATAACTTTCTTAACTTCTACAATTAATCATAGAGTCAAGAATGTTTTTAAATATCAGAATTTGCAATATAAAATAATATATGCGCCTATAAGTAGCGGCACGAAAGTCTAGCTGTGATCGTTATTGAGCATAAGTCGCGCTGATTGGCTCTTGCGTATCGTTCGAACGCGCTGATTGGATCTCCAGTCGCATTCATGCATTGAATTTGTGCGCGTCCCCTCCACGTTTCGTTCAGGAAGGTGCACGTGGAACCTCCTCAAGTCATATAGTGAGCCTTCACAGCCCGGACAATTGTGCTGTCCCATTGGCAAATCCATGTACCATAATCTCAAATGTTAATATTTTGAATATGGATAATGTATCGCTTACCAATAATAGCAGAATAAAATATAAGATGCAATATCAGAGTCAAAAAGCAAACAGTCAACCCAAACCCAAAAAAGAACTATACATATATTTTAACGCAATCTAAAGCCGATATTTTAACTTAATAATTTTATAATTTATATATAAGAATAATTTATATATTTCTCAATCAGATATAATTTTCATCTGCAGGATCGATTTTGAAGGATTTCATCCGTGACGACCACGATCACTCGTTCTCCATCTCTTCTTTATCCGTACAGCTGTACACAACACCTACTCTCGCGCATCATCTTATCGCGAAGCATGACGCATTGTTCGTCGTTATGAATACGTTTGTTAGCGAATGTCTACGACGGTGCAACAGTAAAGTGAGTTAATGCAATTGTTTTTTGTTATGTTATAATAAATTCACGCGCACGCACGCTACTATGCGTACGCACACACCGACGCACTCACGCACGCACATACATATACAAAGAAATAGACACGAAATCAGACTAATGTTGATGCGTCACCACCAACATCTTTACGGCAATTTTGAGTACTGATTTACTACTTGCTTGGCGGTGAAGGAAATCTGATTAGTGAGAAATAAAAAAATATATTTCGAAGACATGTGGAATTTCGTCAATACGCAGTGGTGCAGCGCGACGTACATTTCCTTGCTCTAAAACCTTTGCTTTGCAGTGGGACGTACGAATATATAGGCTGTAAATTTATATCAAATTTTAATAATTAGCTTGCCTTTTGGTCTTAATAACACTCCGCCTTCTTTCCACAGGGTCGTCTGGAATTCGATCGCAATCATGTATCAATGGCTTTTAAACGTGCACAATTTATACTGTACGATGTAAAATACTTGCTGGGCTCCGTGCCAACAAACTTTGATGATGATCTACGCAAGGGTTTCCTTCATGGACTATCGCTGATCATCTCTCTCCTTGTGATGATGCAGGGAATGGATTCTGTTGTCCGACAAGTAAGAGACCATATTTTTATTTTAAATTATTCGCATGTCTTGTAAACAATTTAATTAAATTCAATAGGATTCATAACAAAAATTTTTTTAAATAACTTTGTAAGTGAAGCCGATATTATTATACTGCTTTTGCATAACATGGCGCGTTACAGCGTTTATTTGTAAAATCCCTGCTTGATAGATTAACTTTACAGTAACTGTAAAAAAATCATATTTAAGTATTACTGGAATACAAAAAATACCTATAATATCTTTTTTTTCTTCATCACCATCGTTCAGTAAAACTCCACTGCTAGACTTTGCAGGTCTTCGTATTTATTCCGTTTGACGTAAAGTAGATGTTTATACCTATCTATTGGAAACAATAACATTTTTTGGTATTTCTCATAATCGCCTCTTGTATCACTCATGCGATGAAATGGGGTGACAGAATTTTTTTACGCCGCCACCACAATATAAACCTATATTTAAGAAATAATTGATTGAACCAATCATATTGAAAAGATGAATAATTTGGTAGACACTTTTTGGGTTAATGTTTACCATGGTACATTTCGTGTTATTGTCGACAGAGAGGTCAGCACATGGAGTACGAGCCCGAGTGGGAGTCGGCGTTTAACCTGCACGTGAAGTTGGCGCACAGCATCACGCTGGCGCTGGAGTGGTGCAGCGCAGAGCGTGCGCTGCTTGCCTCCGCGTACCGCATGGCGCTGCGCCGCCACGCCGACACCTGCGCCCACGCACAGCACCAGCTGCGTGGTGAGCACCCACACCCACACAAACACTAGCACCGACACATGCATGCCGACTATACGAAAATAGTATGAATTTAGTAAATGGCAACATTTGAATAGAGTAAAATGATTTAAATCATTTGATATTCCCAAAAATGTTTATTTTTTTCTGAGGCTTTAATTAAAATACATTTTTATTTGAAAAACCATAGAACAATAATAATACTCATTTTATATATAACTTATTTCTAGACGCAATAATTTTTGTCTATTATTTTTCTGCCATTGTTCTTTAATTTTTGAGTAACACTTTTATAATAAATAAAGTCTATCATTATCGAATTTTTTTTTCTGCAGGTTTCCCTTCTACCGCGTGTATATCGCACACTTTTGTAACTTTAAATAGACAACACTGCAGGATATTTTGTCACGGATTAGGACTAAAATAAAATGTTAGTCTGTTATACCGATACTCCATATTCTTGAAACCGGAAAACAGCGGTGGGTATATGTATCTATCTAGGGTAGATAAGATGCGTCCACCGATTCATAGGTAGGCACGTAGGTTATGCCAGTATCAAAATAAGTAAATATTCCTTTTTTCAATCTTTAATTATTACGTATTCGTTGTTCCTTACGGTCGACACTTACAATCAGGGGAGCTGCATGCTCGTTCGCCCTTTCTTATAAAAAGAAAAAGTAACATTGTATTTTGTGGTCGCAGAGTTGGGCAACCAGAGCGCGCTGGTGATTCCATACGACGTGTCGAGTGAGCCTGTGTCGATTCACCGGCCGCTGTCGCGATTCATCGCCGGCTTACATCTGCAGCTACAACGACACGGCCTGTCCTACCACAGCCGAGAGTTCGACCGCCACGAGCGACCAAAACCTACGCCTGAAGAGCTCATTGGTAAGTACAATCCTGGCTCTCTTGTGTCCACTGTTATGTTTTTAATTATG